TATTGAGATTGACTTCCACTTTGTTCGCGAGAAGGTGGCCATGGGCGCTCTTGATGTTCGGTTCGTCGCGTCTGGTGATCAACTAGCTAACATGTTCACTAAACCCGCTACTCATCTCACCCTCCGTAGATTTCAGTCCAATCTAAACCTCGTTCACGTCGGTTCCGATTGAGGGGGAGTGTTATAAGCTAGGGGTGGGCATATAAACCGAGAACCGAAAACCGGAGCCCAAAAAACCGAGACCGGAGCCGAAAAAACCGAGGACCGAAGGTTCGGTCGTTCGTCCGGTTAGCGATCGTAAGAAACCGATATTACTTCGGTACTTTCGGTCATTGGACGCTATTAACCGAAGCTCCCGAATTAACCGTATTTTATTAACTTTCTCATCTTTTTATTAAAGCCTAGTCAATTCAGCCCAACCATCCACGACTCCACGTTACAGAACTAGTGGACAATGCTTTTTTCAGCCTTTTCTTTCCACAAGCAGATGAAGGGAAACGGCCCACGCAACTTATCCAGAATATGCTCCAGGCTTCGGTGCTTCGCGAGCGCACATCACGCGGCGCCGCCGCCTCCATTTTCCTACCTCGCAGGGCGTCGGCTGCGCGCTTGCGCTCATGGCTCCTTAGCAGCGGCGCCCATTGATCTTTAGCGGCGGAGGCGGCCCGCGGCTGGTTGCACCCATGGCTCCCTTGCGGCGGAGGCGGCTGGTTGCGCCCATGGCTCCGTAGTCCCTAGCGGCGGAGGCGGCCGGCGTACATCGCTTGTATGCGGTCGAGGCCATCGCAGCCAGCTTCCGACGATATCCTGCGGGCTGCGGCAATGCTTTCCTCTTACCATTCCGTTCCAAGTTTCGATTTGTTCCTGTTCGGCGTCAACATTTTTCCCCAAGATTTGTCTCCCGATTTCTTGCTTCCCTTTTAATATTGGTTCTCTTTGTTCGTAACCGAGCACCGAACCGATGGACCGAAGTCTCGGTCATTGCTTTTGTAGATCACCGATCGGTCAAGAGAATCAGAAAACCGAATTTGAAAAGTAACCGAAGCACCGACCCGATCGGTTCGGTCTAACCGAATGCCCAGTCCTAGTCTAAGCGTAGCGTTGGTTAGCTGTAGCTATTTTTAAGGATTGTGCATATCCTAACTATGGCAAGGATCGGTTGTGATCCTTAGCCTTGCCGTGTACTCTAAACATGTATGTGTTGTTGTCTATATAATGAGAAGCCCCACGGTGGGCAACCCAGAGTATGCGCGCTGGTGGTACGCCGATCAGTGAATCGTCGGTGATCTATTAGTTTTAACTCGTCCCATCACTTCAACTCCGTCCGGTCCGGCCATCTCTCCCACTCGATCTCACCGCTGCCATGGCGGCAGCATCCGCCTTGCCCGTCTCTTCCCTCGCCCTCACAGCCACAGCCACCTCCCGCTCCCTGCCGTCAACCGTGGCCACCCCCGGCAAGCCGCGCTCGCCCTCGCCGGCACCTCGCCCGGGCGCGTCGACTGGACCTGATGCGAGCTTGAGCTGGAGTTCAAAGGGCATTGACCGTAGCAGTGCCGTGGTGCGCGCTACTGCTCATGTCCCCGAACCGGACACCACCATCAGGGTTGGTCCAATATATTTTTGGGTCCGAGGCGATGTAAAATAATTATTTTTCATATTAAACTTTTATACTTATTTTAAACTAAGTGTATCATATTACAATTGTAATTAATGTTTTTTATTACTTAGCCACATAAAATGTTTTCAAATAACATTTATACTATTATTTGGTATGCATCTGTAATGTATATAATTGAAAATTTTAATTTTACAAAATGAAAAATGTATGATGTACCAAAACTTTTCTTTATTGTTAAGACAATCTTTCATTTTTTTTAATATTGCATAAACGGTGTAGTGTATACACATTTGCATATATATGCATGTGTTCATATATCTTTTCATGTTATATTGAATATTATGATAGAGATTTATAAATTATAGACATACCAACAAATATTTTTATAGCAATTTCTAGTGTATATTAGGTGGTCATATTCATGGAAACTTCTAGGGCATAGAAAATGTGGCATGCATGATAGGTTCAGTAATTCGAAGAACCAAAAATGTTGTTGATTATACTTTTATGCCTGATTCGATTACCTAATGTGCTCGTCCAGATTCACTTGGTTTAGTTTGGTGCAAATGAGATGCCTAGACGTTTATCAAATTAAAAATTGTGCATTGGTTTAAACATTGAAATCGATATATCATAATTTTCATTATGATACTAAGACATGCATTGTAAAAGAGAGACTAATGTATTTGAACTCAACTCCGCAATCGGATTGGTTTGCCTAAGCGTGGTATAACTTATCAGTATGTAGTGTGAACTTATGCTTATGCTAATTGAGGCTCTATTTCATCCATTGAATAATATTTCAGATGTAATGTATACTCTTTTTTTGGAGAGATCTCGCAAGCTTTATTGATTCATAGACATGTTCATAGGTACAATAGTTGGGTTATGAGGATTGCCCAACCACACATCTCTACCTATGCCTAGATTATATGCATACTTTGCGAGATTGTGAGCCTCCAAATTGAAGTTTCTACGCTCAAAAATAAACTTGCAAGAAGAAAAACCAGAACTACGAGCTATTATTTCATGTGTGATTGTTGCGTTCGGTCCACTTGTTCCCCAGTTGATGTCATTAACTACTCCTTTGCAATCGGAAGCCAGAACCACATCATGAACATCCAGATCTTCTGCCAAAGCTAGTCCCTCTCTGCAAGAAAAGGTTTCTAAGACCGTTGGATCAATGACACCTTCGTAGAACACTGCCGAAGACCCCAGGTAGTTGCCATTCTCATCTCGACATAGTGCAGCCACAGCTTCGCCCTTCTGCTCCGAGCTACTGCTCCATCAACGTTCACTTTGACAGTGTCGGTTCCCGAAGCGAGCCAGCGTTGAGTCCTGGCCGCCCGTGCTGACATGCTCACCGTCATGTTCATCTTAGGGATATGTTGCAAGTCCGCAAGGAAGTTGTTCACAAAAGAAATAGTTTGGTGCGGCGCTTGAAAGATTGCCTCGTACACAGCTTTTCGCCGAGCATACCAAATCGCTCAAAGTGTGACAACCATTGTTGTAAACTTGGAGTGATCCATCCTGCTGTATAATTCAAATAGCCATCTCTTTGCACTTGGTTCTTCTAGTTCTGCCATCGCTAGCAGCACATCTGCATCCGATAGTGCTCACACACACCTCGACATCGTACAGGAGATCAAAGCGTGCCGCCACGAGTCTTGGCATCCACACAAAGGACATGTGCCCTGGGTTGCCATATTCCTGTGGTGTAACACATCCGTGGTATGCAGCGAATGCCGTGCCAAACGCCAGATGAATAGTTTGATCTTCGAGAGTATAGGTATATTCCAAAGTGCCAACCAGTTTTTTCCTTCCTCCTGGCCTGCAGATGATCCCGATCTGCCCTCTAGCCACTCCTCTCGCTGCAGTTTTGTGCTTACCAAAAATCTTACTAGTGTAAGTTTTAGTTGGGCCCCTCCCCTCTTGGGGCCCAGGGCGGTCGCCCCTTTTGCCCGGCCTATGGGCCGGCCCTGACCACCATCCAAGTTCAAGGTACTACTATATGCATGCATGAATGAACCCATTGTTCCCTTTGGATGTGTATAAAGTGCACCGTGTAGTATGTAGTACGCACCTACGGGCTGAGGGCTCCTTTTTGGATCTAAAAATTTCATTTTATGGGGGTATTAGAGGGTTAGAAATTTTTTCTAAGTTGGTTGGTCGTTTGTTTCGTACGAGTGAATCGTCGGTGATTTGTTTTTAGGGATTGGGAATTATGTGTGTGTTTCATAGGAAATCTAGCATTCACTCCAATATTTTTCCTTTACAGTTTCTTTGTTTCTTCAGTGGCATCAAGCATTCTATCCACACTAAAAAATGCTCTTATATTTTGGGACGGAGGGAGTAGTAAGTAGAAATTGTATAGGCATGTGATTTTAATCTTCTTTTTTTATTCCAACGTTTTCGGGTAATCCCAGAAAGAGTCCAAGGTAGTACGACGAGTCTTCTTTGATCAAACTGACTGGGGCTCAGCTCTCCCCTCGCCCGCCCTTGAACTCCGCCGCCATCCCTCCCCTCGCCGCCCCCTGAGATCGCCGCTTGCGAGGTAGTATTACATTCCTCTGGTCGTGCCATGATCGTTGGAGAGCCAGTCTTGCCGTGCCGGGCCGTGCCGTCCGTGCATTTTCTGGAGCGCCGCCGGTTTGTGTTTCGCCCTTCCCCTGGGCGGAGCGCCGCCGATCTGTGGTCTCATCTCGCCCCTTTCTCTGGTGCTCCACCCCCGTCCCATCCTCCCCTGGTCGCCTCTCGTCAGATCCGGGCGTTCCCTCGCCGGATCTGGTGCTCGGGCGCCCTCCCGGTCGTTTCCCGGCCAGATCAGGGCAGCTCCCCGACGGATCAGGTGATTTTCCTTCGTTTGTGCCTTGTTCCTCTAATGGTCGCTAGATCTGGATGGTTATTCGTGTCGGCTAGGCATGCGCTGCGCCCCTATCGTTCTCTCCTAGAAATGTTGCTTCTCCCGTGGTCGTCCCGCTCATTGTTTTGGTCGTGGTCATGGATGCATCTGCCACCCATTGGTGCAAGGTTCCAGTTCAAAAGCAATTCTACCAACTGCGAAAGTACTAGGCATACTTTGTTTTGTGGAAAGTTTATGTTTTCTTGCTTGAAAGCAAGCTAGATTTCCACTCTTGACAAGTTAATACTCGCATTTCGATGTCTCATCCATTCTCGGAAGCTCAGCTCGATCACCCAAAGATGTCTAATTCATTGTTTTTCTTGTGCTCATATTTGTGAAAGTTTATGGCTAGTTATCTAATGTTGTGATCAAAATTGCCTCACAGCTGGAAGCAAGTGGAAACCAGCTATCTGTGTGGTCATTGTGGAGGTATTCAACACCGGGACTATACTGCTAGGCAAGCTAGCACTTGATGGCGGCATGTTCGTATTCTCCTTGCTCTCATACAGAAGTGTTCTTGGTGCCGTTTTCATGTTGCCATTTGCCCTATTCCTTGAAAGGTTAGCAATTTTCCTTCTCTTTAATTTTTGTTAATAAAACCTATCATTTTCATGGAAAGTAATACTATAACTCTTAACAATTGACTCAAGAATATATATGGCAATTTTGCAGAGGGAGGTGGAAAGAGTTGAACATGAAAGCTCTTGGATGGCTCTTTATCAATGCATTTGTTGGGTACTAAGCAAACTATCCTGTCCCTTTGCAGTAACATAAAACAATTGGTTTTGTAGTTCTTTTGTTTTTATCATCTAAACTCTTTGTTCCATGCCTATATATGTGTATATTGTCCTATGTTCCCATCAAAATCGATCAGAACATGACCAAGCACGCATTAGCCCACTAATTCAAGCAACACGTTGGCCTTATGTGAAAAATTTAAACTGAACCCGGCTGATTCTCCAACCCCCATATGCTAACACTTCTTCAAATCCTCCTCATAATAAATGGATGATTTGTGTACCAGATTCGTCAAATATCTTATGCTTTATTTTTATTTCTTCACAACTTATGTTCAATCAATTTGATAGTTAGATGTAAGGTTTGAACTTTGATCCCAATAAGCTTAAATGTAAAACTGGAGCTGAATCGTGATAAACCTGAAATTAATCCAATTGTGAAAGCTGTGTGGTTCGTCGTAAGCTTTCCTATCATACCCATTTTGTTCAGTTCTTATTTACGTTTGGCAAACTACAACAAAGACACCGATGCAGTAATGGAGTTTATAATTAGAGCAGATCACTGTTTAGCTTTTTTCAAGCAATTTGGAGACCGAATTACTTTATGCTTACAACATGAAAGTTGTAGGAAATTTCCTGTAGATATCTTTATTGGCATCATTTGTATGTTTGCATAATCAGAATTAATTTGCAAACTACAACCAAGAAACTGATGCTGTAATGGAGTTTATGATTAGAGCAGATTACTGTTGAGCTTTCCTCAAGCAATTTGGAGACCAAATTACTTTATGCTTACAACATGAAAGTTGTAGGAAATTTCCTGTTGATATCTTTATTGGCATCATTTGCTATGTTTGCATAAGCAGAATTAAAGACACAAAAATAACAGTGAGGAAATCAGAAGTTACATGGGAAAAGTCGAGAAGCAAAGTTTGTTCTTTTACTTAGTTTTTCCTGAGGCTTAGGGTTAGTGTCATCCTATTTTGCCATATATAGTGTAGAGTTAGTTATACTCGTGTGAAGATCATCCTATTTTGAATTGATGTCACTATGTGATAGATATAAGAGAAGTGAATTAGAGATTCTGTATACTACCATATATACCTTTGCAGTAACATAAAATAATTGGTTTTGTAGTTCTGTTTTTTTTTATCCTCTGAACTCTATCTTCTGTTCAATGCTTATATGTGTATATTGTCCTATGTTCCCATCAAAATTGATCTGAACATGACGAAGCATGCATTAGCCAACTAATTCAGTCACACATTGGCATTATTTGAAAAATTAAACTGAACCCGACTGATTCTCCAACCCCCATATGCTAACACTTCTCAAATCCTTCTGATAACAAATGGAGCACTTGTCTACCAGATACTTCAAATATCTTATGCTTTTTTATTTCTTCATAACCACAAAATAAATTAACAGGTTGAGATGCACAACTTATGTTTAGTCAAGTTTGTAGTTTACTATATGCACCATGCTAAGTACTTAAGTGTAATATAGCTATTTTTTGTTTGAGTATATGATTAAGGTACATGGTATTAATTGACAGTGATATTTTTTACTTTGCACAGATACTCTCTGCCCATGGCATTATACTACTACGGGCTCCACGACACGACTGCTTCATATGGTGTGGTCTTCTCCAGTCTGACTCCCCTCTTCACCTTTGTCCTTTCACTATTGCTTGGGTAAGCAATCTTTTCTGGAGCTGATGTGATTAAAGCATCGATTATCCTAGTTCCAACATCACAAATATCATCGATTTATCGCACATTTCTGGAGCTGATGTGAAACAAAGAAGTAGACACCTCTTTCTATTAAAAACAATTTTTTATCACGATAAGTGCCAGGGGCTTACGATTAGTTCCACTGATGTACCGTTGGCAAGTAATATCCTTTTCTGCACAAACATGTTAAATATTAGTACATTCTTTTTGTAACTGTTTGGATTCCCCAAAATGGCCAGCATGGAGAGCTTGCGCCTCAAGTCTAAGGAGGGCAGCGCAAAAGTGGTTGGGGCACTGGTGTGCTTTGCTGGGGCTCTTCTGATTAGCCTGTACAAGGGAGAAGAACTTCATCTCTTGTCTCCAGTTTTAAAGGGCATCACTAAGAGTTCTCATGGAGTAGCCGGAGGACACCACCACTCGAGGGGCACCTTGCTTTTGCTGGGAGATAGCATCTGCTATGCGTTTTGGTACCCTATCCAGGTTTGTCCAATTCTGATACAGTGTTTTCGAACTATGGCTTTTATCTATATTTCCCACAAGAGGTATAAAATGATTACAGTTTTTTATTCTTGTTCTTTTTTTCCCATACCGGGCTTACCCCCTTTCCATTGTCAAGATAACAGAAATACATCAGTCCAGAAAAACAAAGGGTGCAGGAAAGAAGGGAAAGCGAGTTCGAGCACTGCTAGGAAACCCGCTGCACACGCTCGTCATCGAAACGTGCACCACGGGGCAAAAACCTAGAAAGCACTAGGGCAAGCAGAAACTAGAACTATCACAACGCATATAATGCAGCGCAAAGTATCAGGATAGTAACATATCACTTCAAAAGAGACATCATTCTGGAGATCATGCAGCAAAATATTCGCCAGCATCCAGCATCTCCAGCTGCTCCGCGAGACATCAATCACCAGCAACTGTGTAATTCGTAGCACCGCTAATCCTCATCAGCTTCAGAGCGTTCCGCGAAGATCAGCTCCCACCCTAAGCACAATTTTATGCATTTCAGATAGCCCAAGTCACTGCAGCTAATCCAACATAAATTTTCACTGTTGGGCCAGAAAGCATAGCACCAAGAATAAAATTGCCAGCAGCTATTGGGACAAAGATCAGTTCCCAATACAACACCCACTGTTTGCCAACCAATTCTAGCTACAGGGAATCGAAAAAATATATGTTGAGATGATCCCAGGCCACTTTGCAAAAGGAACAAATAGGGCTCCCAGGCCACTTTCTTTCTCTCATCACTTGCGTAGTCAAAACTGCATTTTGGAACAACTGCCAAAGGAAGATTTGTATCTTCAAAGGCAACTTAGCTGCCCAAATCTTTAAAATGGCACCCAGAAAGAGGTCTTTCAAGCCATTTATACATGGATTTGGTGGTATACATGCCATTTTTATTTGAGCCCCAGTGAACAGTGCCAGGTTCATTAGTGAGTTGCAATCTTTCCACACACTCACCCACTGCATGCCACTGATTAAGCAACTCAGGGTTTAACCTTCTCCTGAAGAAGTTATTCACATTGATCTGGTGGAATTGGGAAGCACTACTTTCAGGCTCATTGCATATAGCAAACAGCTGGGGGAATTGCTCACTAAGAGGAGCCTGCTCCTGAAGGTAGTCTTTCCACAGCCTAGCAATATCACCCATCCCAATATCTATTTTTCTACCAACCATATGAAGCTCTTTTATCTTTAGAACTAGCGGGTTGACCCGCGCATTTGCGCGGCTAGATTTGTTAGTTGGTGTTCTTATGTTCATGCATACTTGCTACACCAACTTCGAGACGCGGATAATAGGCATTATGTACGTATTGAAAATTATAGAAAAGCTTGCACCCAAGATTTACCTTGAGAAAACAATAAGCATGGTGCGGATTTCTGCAATGTGAGGGTTGGGCATGTTTCCAGGATCTCTCAACATCCTTTTTTCTGCTTGCACACAAATCAGATTGCCATCAATGTGCAATTCTTCTGCCAATGCCAGCCATGTCATGTATTTAGTCTTTCTAAGCTTCGCATAAACGTGGATTAATTCATGCATGATTAACTCATTATTGTATTTAATTCATGTCAAATAAATGCATACGTCTATGCAAGTGATTCATGTTAATATGGTTCTAACATACAAGGTTAATATTGGTCATCATTCGCAATATATCACATATCTTGTGAAGTTTATTGTATTTTTCTTCCATGCCTTTAGGTCAAATCTTACCTTTAAGTACAAAGTTGAACTGCTAATTTTGTTACTATAGGACTTCTTTCAAAAGTTAGCTATTCCATATACAAACCCAAAAGCTAATTCTAAGATTTTTAAAATGATTTCCACTATTAATCCTTTGCCTCAAATAGAGTTTTTTATGAACCAATTTGCTATTGTTCCTTTTTTATTTTGATTTTTATATTAATATTTATACAAAATTTAGCTATTTTTAGATATCACGGTGTTCGTATATAAGCATGAATTTATTTTTTGTTACTTGTTTTTGATGTTTCTGATGTCACCACATGCAATTTCATCTGGTTTCCTCTTTTTGGATGCTCTGATCTCGCCCGAGCCATCTGACTGAGATACTAACATAGGTGTGTCCTGTTTAATCTTTCACCCAAAGTCTAGCTAAATCATGTATAAATCTTACAACTGATTCTAATATGATATTCCAAATTCTTGATATTCATTGATGTCATCGATGATGTAACTACATGCACGCAGTTTAGTTGGCTTACAATATGAATTCGTCCCAAAATGTTTTGTGATAGTGGTAACTATAAGACCATAACATGTCTACGGTACAATTAGTGGATTTTAATTTTTCTTGTTTGTAGATTTTATATCTACTATTTGTCATGGGAAATTGGTTGGACAGTATCATGCCTTGGTTATCTTTATAATAATTTTACATTTAATCATTACAGGCATAACTTAAGATGTAGCAAATTAAATGTATCAGTATATTTTTATTCAGGGCTGCCTCCACTGATTTCAAAATCTCCATCACTTTGGAAACTTGTGAACGCCATCTCCCAAAATGCAAATATTTTCTGCAAATATCGATAACTTTTTTGACTAACAGAATATGATGGAGTTAAAAATACCCACAAATATTGCTATTAGGTTTTTGAAAAATATTTGTTTCTATATGGATTTATTATTTTATTTTACACCAGTCTCCTGCGTGAGATATAAGTATACAATAGATAGATTTCCAAGAGGGGGAGTGAGAGAATCTAGGTTGTACTGTAGCAATAGTTTTGTTCCTCATATATTTGGCTTTAATGATATCTTGACAAATACCATCTTGTATCTCAAGTTTACACCACCATTTCACCATGAGAGCAAGATTTTGCTTCCTTAGGTCTTTCACTCCTAGACCCCCATTATTTTTGGATCTGCAAATCCTACTCCATCTAACCAGGTGTTATCTTTTTTTAATACTACACCCCTGAATTTTATTCTTTTTCTTGACCTGTAACTACGAAGTGTTTCTAATAATGCAGGTCAAAGTTCTAAAGGTCTACCCATGGAAACACTGGTCAACTGTATTGACCTGTGTTCTAGGTGGTTTGCAAACCTGTGCCGTAGGAATAATTATGAGAAGGGACAAACTGGCTTGGCAAGTTGGATGGAACATCCAACTATTAACAATTGTTTACTCAGTAAGTTTTTTTTCCCAGAAAGTGTTCAATTTTAGAAATCTCTTATGTTGCATGAATTTTATTACTTTCCACATTTTCAGATCTAATTGATAATTCCACTATATCTATAAGCCAACCTTAGTTTCTCAAGCAAAAGTCAAGCAGCCCTAGCAAGATAGCTTTCCATTGTAGATCTATGAGAACTAGTAAGGGAAATATTGGTTAGAGATTATTTGTAGTGTATTCAACCTTTATTCTAGCTAACTGAATCAGTGGGTATATCATTGTTAAAAGTTAGATGTTGACTTACTTCAAAATTGTGAAAACTTGCTTATGAGGCAGAATATTAAAAACATTTGTTTCTTGATTTTTTGAACTTGATAGTCGAAAACAATATGCAATAATCTGCCACATACTTGATTTGGAATGTAGGCTGCACTTGGCACAGCAGCCAAGTATTGGTTGAATCTCTATGCCGTGGAAAAACGGGGCCCAGTTTTTCCACCCATGTTCAGCACTCTGTCAATTATCTTCACGATGGTTCTTGGGGCACTACTACTAGGAGAAACTCTCACAGTTGGCAGGTACGTGTATTTTGTCTAGCATTTGGACTTGTATTGAAAGATTTTAGTTTCTTGTGTGTGTGTGCGCGCGTGCGTGCATGCGTGGGTGTGTTGTGTGTGTGTGTGTGTGTGTGTGTGTGTGTGTGTGTGTCTGTCTGTCTGTCTGTCTGTCTGTCTGGTGTGTGTGTGTGGTGTATGTGTATGTGTATGTGTAAAGGTCCACTGAATTTTAGCATGCTGCTGAGTCCCCACACAACAGAAAGAGATACGGTGATATAGGGTCTCCCTGTCTGATTCCTCTAGAAGGCTTGAAATATTCGGAGTAATGTCCATTGATTCGAACAGATAGTGAGACCGTTTCAACACTCCAGCACTCTATCAACCCACTTTTCGGCAAAGCCCAATTTTTGCATTACGGCTCGGAGATATGGCCACTCAACCCGGTTGTAGCTTTTGCCATGTCAAGTTTTATAGCACAGGCCCCAGCTTTCCCCCTTTTCCTCTTTAGATAGTGTTTGTTCTCAAAGGCCGTGAGAACATTGTCCGTAATCAAATGGCTCGGCACAAAGGCGCTCTGCTCCTCTGCGATAATTTCTTCAAGAGTAGGTCTCAATCTGACTTTCAAGGCAATTTTGTAGAGCACGTTGCGCAGAGCAATAGATTTGAACTGGGTGAGGTCCTCTTTATCTTAGGGATCAAGACTAACACCGTCCTGTTCACGTCAGTTGGCATGTTACCACCATCCAGAAACTTCCTGACCGCCTTGCAAATATCTGTCACCAAGTGCCAATGCTTGATATAAAAACCCACAGTGAACCCATCAGGACCAGGGGAAGAATTGGGTTTCATCATGAACAATGCTTTCTCAATCTCCAAGTCAGAGAATGGCGCACAAAGATTTTCATTCATTTCATTTGTTACCTTGTGTGGAACAACCTGAGTCACCAAACTCGGTTCAGTGTAGTACTGAGCCTTGAATAAGCCTTTAAAAAAATCATTGGACATTGCCCGCATCTCATGTTGGATAGAACAAAAGGTGCCATCCTCTCTTTTCAGGGACGAGATTTTGTTGGTCCTGGCTCGACCTTTAGCTGTTGCAAGAAAAAACCAGTGCTTCTATCACCTTCTTTTAGCCATTTGACCTGGGAATGCTGCCTTGCCATTGCTTCTTCTCTGGCTAACAGGTCAGACATCCTTTTCATGAAGTCTTTCTCAGCTCTAGTTGGCCCAGAGAGGAGAGAGTAAGATCTGACGTCTTCCAGATTTTGTCTCAGACATGTGAGTTGTCTTTTCACAGAGCCGAACTCTTCTTTGCTCCAACTGCTCAGCTTAATTCTCAAGTGACTAAGAGATCTATTTACATCCTCCAAGTCCCCAGTCCCTCGCAGCCAGGCATTGTTGACCACCTCTTCATAGTGCTCATGTTTCCTCCACGTATTTTCATATTTAAAAGGTTTCGCAGTGGCGCCACCTCCGAGCCAATTTGATCTTCTCATTGTGATAAGGATAGCACAATGGTCCGACTCAGTTGTTTGGACATGAGAGACCGTGCTGCCATCAAACTTTTCCAAAAATTTGTCATCACCAAAAGCCCTGTCCAGGCGAACCTTGATGTTGCGAGTACCATCCTGATGGTTATCCCAGGTGTATGGAAATCCAGCATACCCCAGGTCAGAGAACACGCAAAAGTCCACAGCCTCCCTGAAGCCCTCCATCTTCCATTCTTCCTTAACCTCACCCCCGATTTGCTCTGTGGCACAGAGTCTCATTAAAATCCCCAGCGCAAAGCCATGGTTCATCTTGCTGTTGACACAAGTATTTCAGGAGATACCAGCTATCTCCTCTGAATTTATGTTTAGGTTCACCATAGATCCCAGTGAATCTCCAATCTCCTGCTCCAGTTGCTTCCCCATTAACAAGGACATCGATGTGCGCTTCAGAAAAATTCAAAACTCGCACTTTGACATCATTCGTCCAGAAAAGCGCCAATGCTCCACTCAGGCCATTACAACTTAAACTTTTGGCATTCTGCATCCCAATTCTCCACTTCAAATCTTGAGCTCTCGTAGCATTCAGTTTGGTCTCCGAGAGAAACCAAAGCTGGGCGATGGATCTCCACAAGGTTGTGGATCTCATGAACTGCCTCGGGCTGCCCACACCCTGGCAGTTCAGGCATAAAATATTCATTGGGTGCGGCGGAGCTGCATCACATTAGCAGCCACCATCTTGTTTGGGAACGAAGATTCATCATTCTTCTGCTTTTTATTAGTCTCCTACACCCCGTCAAGGTCATTGTTGGTTGTTGTTTGGCCCACTGGAACCAGCGCTCAAGAGTAGTCCTCTTGTGCCTTTCCATCTCAGAAAAGTTTCTTAGCAATCTCTGAAACTCTTGTGGGTTCAGTCACACCCCCATGCTTGTCTTTAAAGATTGGGGAAGTCATCGCTTCTCCAGGTTTGCCAGCATCATCGTCACCAGATTCCCATGAAGTTCTGCTTGCAGCAGATCCTGTATAGGATCTCTGGCTTCTTCCTCCTCTGTCTTTTGAGTCACTGGTCCATGAGGCTGATGTGACAGCCTGGCCAAATGACTGAATTCCTTATCTTAAGGTTATCAGGCGCGCTCAGCTTTCACTCAAACGGCAGCTTGCCATCCGCATCACAATCTGCCAGGTTTCGGCATTCCAAATCTCTGTGCCCAATCACACCGCAGCTATGGCAGAAAAAAGGCAGCTTTAATACTGGAGATCATATTTGATTTCCTCCTTGTTCTTACTGATTGTGACCCATCTAGGGATTGGCTGATTAATGGGTAAGGATACCCTAGCCCGAAGAAAACTTCCAGCTGCTTCCCCAAATTCATCAACATCAACAGATCAGTGTTTATCCACTAATTTAGCAATCTTTGGACCTTTTTTGTTGTTCATCCACTCGAAAGGCAGGTTTAAGATGCACATCCAAATTGCCATCGAGTCGAATCTTAAATCGGAAGGGCGTAGGCGATGATCCAGTTCCTGCAACAGAGCTGCATGTCTTTCCACCATCCAACATCTTGTTGACAAAATCTGCGGCAAACACATTGTTAGCTACCAGCCTGATCCTCAGGCCTTTCGGGTTGCCCCAGGCTGGTCGCATTGCGTCTGTCACTGTCTGCACATGAATCACCGCATGGGGAAAGCACCTTGCAAGCGAGGGACCATTTCACCAGTGTAGCTACTGCTTTGTCTTCGTCGTTGCTCACCTTGACAACCTCTGTCTCGTCAGTAAGGATATTGAGACGCCCCATCATTGGGTCCACCCCTTCTTCAGTACTAGCCGCATCCTTGGTGACCTTGTCCTTCCCCTTTTCAGATTCCGCCTGAGCACAAACATATGACGGCATGGCAGCAGGCTAGCAACATGAACGCCAACTCATTCATATGACATATGTAAAAGTGCCTTTATTTAATTTCAACGGACAGTGAAAAATGTAGCTTAACATATTATGAGACGGAGATAATGAATACTGTAGCTTAACAAATGTTGTGATTTAGTTGTACAAATTTTAACCAGAATTACATTTTATGTGATAGTTTGACAGTTGGTTGTTTCAATGTTAAAATTTATATATTGTATTCCAAAAGTGACATTTTATTGTTGTATGCAGCTTGTTGGGCAGTGCGTTTGTTTTCATTGGACTGTACACGTACCTCTATGGAAAGGCAAGAGAGGTACATGCAAAGACAGCACCAGGTTCAAGCCATGAAAGTCTTCAAGTCCAACCTGTCCCTGATTCAAAGTGTGACGATCCAGAATCGGGTCCTTGATTCTGGGGAAACTATTCCTGTAAGGAGCTTTGAATGTGCAGTTGACATCAGCTGTGGTTAGCATGTGAGATAGTGAAGCAAGATGGTCTAACCAATCCTAAGGCGTGTCGTGCTGCATTAATGTCTTGTTGGATTATATGATTGTGTTGGTGTTTTGTTGAACTAGTATTTTGTGCTATCTAGTGACGTTATTTGGAGAAGTTAGTATCTCTTGGTGTTGCATTCTTGTTTTGCAAGTTGTTGCAGCAAGTCGTGTTTGTGTGTTTTCTTCATTTCTTGCATTTGATGAACAACTCAATCCAACAAGGGATCGAAACCTCCCAAGGTTCCATTTGTTTTGCTTGTAAAAATAGTGCCCAAGTGCCTCATTGGATGCCCAATGCCTACGGGCATCTTCAAGGGAGACCTGCAAAACTCTGGTATAGTATGTCAGACCGGGCATCTTCGAGGACGTCTATATTCCGGTATTTTGGAGACAAACATGGGACGATTTGTAGGAGCCTGGACAAAAACACAGGAATTTTTTGTTTGCGCAGCCTCCTTTCTCTCCAAGACGCGTCGCCCCGCGGAGCCACCACTGCCTCCAGCCGGCGCTCGAGTGGGCCCTCGTCGTGGATGCGCACGAACGTGGCGGTTGCGGCGTCGAAGCCCTCCGGCGAGGTGCGGAAGATATGGCACAACCTGGTCGTGCTCGACCGGAGCCACAGCCAGCAGGACGCGAGCGCGGAGTAGCTGCATCGGAGGGCGGCGTGCGCGCATGGCGGGACTCACGCTGGTGCTCGGCTGCTATTTCTATTCGCTGGCATGAAGCTGGCCATCGCGGCGGCCATGTGGTCTCTTTTGCTACTGCGTATTTGCACAGATCAATCAAGTTGCTTCGTTGCTTGGAAAGACAGCTTCTTACGTGTAGTCCTGCAGCAAGCTCGGTCGCTGGCGTGTGAGGGGCGAAAATATTTAATAGAACACCTGCACCCAGGCCCTCTCTATCTAGCCATCCATTCCCCGCATCGCGATTCGTGCAAATAAATTTCTCTTTTTTGTTTCTCTCACATAAGACATGTCTTGAAGTTCAAACGTTTGCAGCGTGGCAAAGCTTTCTATCTAGAGTCTAGGATAAATCTTTTAGAATTTTTGTGAAACATAAACATGCAAAATATGATTTTTTTAAAAAAATTACAAAATCATTTTTTATATTTTTATATTTGACAAAAAAATCTGAAAGATTTATCCTAGATTCTAGTTAGAAAGTTTTGCCACGCTGCAAAGATTTGAACTTCAAGACATGTTTTATGTGAGAGACATAAAAAAAGAGAAAATTTCATGTAGAAAGTTAGTTGTGGCACAGATCTTAAAGCAATATTGAACAGCCAAGATACCAGGGCCGGGATGTAGGTGTTCTAAAAATTCACGTCTGTGTGAGGGGAGGCCCCCACGTTCCTCGCTGCGCCAGGGGAGGTCGCCGTGTCCGCGCTGGTTACGTTGGTGGCCACACTCATCGTCCTGCGATGCAGCAGCTGTGCCCGCCACCGCGTCCGTAGCCGCGCCCACCCCTCGCCCGCGGCCGGGGCGACCTCGAGGGTGCCGGCGGCGAGCACGGCAAGCGTGAGGACGACGAGCACTACATGAACGGGACTTGTCTTAGTGTCGCACATCAACTGTTCAAAAGTCACGGGATGACCGCGTCTCCACCACCAACCACCGCCTGCTCCACCCAAACCGCGCCGACGGCGAGATCCCTGACGAGTCGGGGAGCGCGAGACTCCGCTCGCTCGACCGCTCAGGCCCGAGGATTGGTCTGGGGATTGTGCCGAGCAACGACCCAGATCCAACTCGAGATGAGCGGGGCTCCGAGGGAACGGAGGATCTAGAAGCGCTACTGAAGGCGGCGAACAGAGCGGAGAAGGCGACGGCGCGTGCGGCGGAGAAAGCGAGGGAGTCCAAGTTGGTCCTCATCGAGCGCATCATGGCGAGGGCGACGGAGGAGGAAATCGACCGCCTATTCCAACTGGGCTCGCCGCTAGAGCCGGAGCGGGTGCTGGATTGGGCGGCCGGGGAAGCATCGTCGACGTCGAGGGTCCAGTGCGCGAGATGGTAACCATTTCGTTGAGATCCCTGGTGAGTTTGGGCAAGGAGGGCCAGGGAGAGGTGATGATTGGCGAGTTCCATGTCTCGCTGGTTCAATTGGAAGCACGGGTCAGCACCCCCTGCCGTCCGTCCCCGTTCCGAGCAACTCCAGCGAGGGCTCAGGCTTGCCGGCGACCTGCTGCGGCGAGGACAAAGGCGATTGGGGGAATTTGAGCAATGGGGCCCTCAACTCAGGCAGTGGACACCTGAGAAGCGAGAAGCGGTTTGCGGGGGCTGTTTTCAAAAAGGAAAAGCGCATTTGCAAAAGCAGCTTCCCCGGGACGTGGAAGAGGTGGTAGAAATATTCGGACAGCTTTGGTCGGTTCCGTCCCCAAACACTGCTAGGGTCTCCGCCGCCAAGAGAAGACTGGTCTGGATCCACAAGGATCTAGTCCTTTCCAAAAAAAAATCACCCCAGAGGATTGCTATCCGGCGAGAGAGAGTAGAGAGCTTGCTCGACCAAAGATGATCAATTTCTCAAAAGAATTGTGGAGTGGTGGTGCAGATCGGGTGACGTACGCTGAAGTGGTCAAAGGGATGGCAGGCACCGGAGGAGGAGGACGCCGGGGTGGGGGGAATGTTGCTGGCCGCGGAGAGGGAGCTCATCGTCCAGTGGGCCAAGATTATCCCCCAACCCATGGCTAGATCCCCATCCAGACTGGGGCATGCCCGCAGGGGGCACCGGTGATGCAGGGGCAGCTACAACCAGGTACCTTCCAACCAATGCAACAATTCAGTGGTCCGAGCAGTTTGCAAGGGATGCCACCATGGCAAGGGATGCAATTTCCTCAGTATAATCAGTGGCCTCAGCAGTTTCTGCCCAATATGCCTGTCATGCACCAGCAACAACAACAACAACAACAACAACAACAACAACAACAACAACAACAACAACAACAACAACAACAACAACAAGGATATGCATCAACAGCAGCAGCCAGTGCAATATGGGCATCCCCCTGATCAATTCCAGACTGGAAATCAATTCCAAGGATATGGGGAGGGGCAGTCTAGTATTGAACAACAGAACACTCAGACTCAACAGAAGAGAAAAAACAAAAGCTTCAACTCCCAAAAAGAACAGCAAGGGAAAGCCAACAGTGCTGTCAAGGCTGATAGTTCTCAAAACAGGAATGAAGAGGCTGTGATCAATTATGATCCAAAGTTGAGGGATGTCATTTTTTACAATTTTTGGAGAGCCAGCTCACTTTGTTGGAACTTGTCCAGTGCCAAAAAAATGCTTCATATGCCACAAGGCTGGACACCATATGGATAACTACTTGGAGTGGTGTAAACCTCAAGCCACTGCCCAATACTATGGCAGTGCCAATGCTGGGCTGGGATTCTTTCACATAGAATCTGATGATAAAGAGGTAGTTAAATGGCTGAACATGACCAATGTGTGTGTTGCTGTGATTGAGGAAGGTTCTATCACCTCCCAAGAACTGAGAAACAACTTTTCTGAAATATGGAAGACCAATTGGCCATGGCAAGTGAGGCAGTTAACTGAGAAACATTTCCTGGTTAGGTTTCCACCTCACAAAAAATTAAAGGATTTGGTTGAGCTCCCCTCCATCAATCTCAAAAAAGGGGGTAACTGTTTCTTTTGATAAATGGGAGGGTGAGGAGGTAGCATATGCTGAATTACAAGAGGTTTGGGTGACCATGATTGGGATTCCTGTTAACAAGCTCACATGGAAAGTTATATCTCAGATCACCTACATCTTGGGAATCTTGGCGAATGTAGATTGGCATGAAATCTTCAGAAGTTTCTATGAAAAAGTCAAGGTGCAGGTTGCTGTGAGAGATATTTCAAAAATCCCAACTGAAAGGCTAGTAGAAATTGACAAGGAACTATTCCTCATATCCTTCCTTGTTGATACAGAACCAGTCCTGAAAAGTATTAACCCAAAAACAAGTGGTGGAGAGAGGTCAGATGAGGACCTTTTGGAAGGAAATCCTGATAAAGATCAGCAAATGCAGGGCCCAAAAGATATGGAGACTGATAAGAGTAAAAATCCAAAATCTAGGGGGGGGGGGGCTGCTCAAAACTCTCAGAAAGCTCCTTCTCAGTCCAAAACACCAATGGAGTTAGTGAACTCACTGGAAAAAAGGTGCAAAGTGCTATACTGGGACTGAAAGGAGATGCAAGCACAAAGAAGGACTTGCATAGGAAAAAACCTGAGCATAACATCGGTATTCAGCTACTGGAACAATTTGATGAGGAGTCTGATGGAGATGGGGCAACCATAGATGTGCCAAGACCACAGAATCCACACAACAAATGGGACCTTGTGGTGGCATCCAGGGTGAGCAACAGGATAAAAAGAGATGGGAGAAATGCCATACAGAAGGCTGAAGACCTCAGGAGGCTTAAAGACCTGGAAGTTCCAACAGGTAATAGGAATTTTAACTCCTTTTCTGCTTTTAATGATGATGATCTACTTCCGAAAGCAAAAAAGGTTGTCTTGAAATTAGGTAATGATGATATTAGTATCTCTCAAAATATTTAGGTTATTAGACAAGTGGAGGAAAGCATGCTATCTGCATTTAAAGACACTCACCTAGAGTGTTTCCTCCCTGCTAACCTGGATATTAGTCTAGAAGTATTAAATAATGATCTATCTGAGAAGGCATCCCTAGTGAGTGATCACAGTAGTGATCACCCTGAAGATATTCCTACATGGGCTGAGGTAGTCTCAGGTAGAAAAAGTAGTTGTAGAAAACCTGAATTTAATAATGGTAGTAGCCCTATCTTGGAATGTTAGAGGGATGAATAAACCTGAAAAAATTAAGGCAGTGGGTAAGCTCATTAGAGCCACTCATTCTAACTTGGTTGGTTTCTCTAAGACTAAGGAAGAGTCCTTTAGTAATAT